GGTCATCCACCAGACTCGAGTTTTGAACGTCAATCACCTCAAAGTCAGACAGTCCCCGTGTCATCCTCCCACCTCCTGGAAGTGTCTAGAATAGCTGCTGGACACCCTCCAATCCTCGGTTAGACACATCTTCAAATTTATTTTCATATCGCTCCAAATTTTACTATGTGCCTCTATTCTTGTGAATTGACTACTTTGTACTTTTTCACGGTATTCGTCTCAACTGTGCCGCTTCAGATCTACGAGTAGTACGCTATCACCCTCATTCTCGGAGGAAGTGATCGCAACCTGGCAGGTCCCCAACCTTTAACCGGCCAGTACCCATTCTCATCCCCATCCTACTCCCCCCCTCTATCTCTGCTACGTCACCCTCTCAGTCCTATACACGTTCAAATCGACCATTCCTTGTCACCCGGCATTGACAGCGCCCGAATTCAAGCCATTTTCCAAGCAGGCTGGAATAGCAGCAGGGATTTTTTCCATTGTTGCTAATGTCGCCGTACTTTTTTGCCTGGCCTCATCAGTTACACTGTGGGAAAGCACGCTGGGCTCAAGATGGCCCTGGCAAAGCACATTCTGGATCGCCCCGGTCCCAGCTACTCTCGACTTTTACATACCCGCCTCGCAATGGTTCTCCATTCCATTACCCCAACACAACTCATCTACGTCCTGCCTAATGTCACCGTGGCGGCAGAGGTGATGAAGGTGACAAAGATGGGGAAGATGGGGAAGGGGATACCTTTACCGACCAAAGCTCATCTGGCGGTGATGACGAAGGTCAGGAAGGCGAGGCTGATGGAGATATGGACGACAACGATGAAGGGCACACTACTGGTCGGGAAGAACTTCCCGACCGCCGCCGCCCATTGTCCACTACAGCTAAGGGACCGGATCCCAACCCACTTCCCTACTTCTCAATGTAATGGTTCGCCCTCTTCCTCCTCTGTTTAGTCATCCCTGTCCTGGTATTCCTTATCAGCATTATCCCTGTGTTGAGGACCATCTCTAGTGCGTGCCACAAGCCATAACTTTCTTTGACTTAGATAACGGCAGGGTGCAGCAATTTGTGAAGAATTCCACTAGGTTCTTGCGCGAGTATGGGGTGCCATCACCATACTGGAGGGCATCCGTGTAGAGACGGCCTTGTACCTTTCTACGGGGCGAGATCACTCTGTACAACGAGGGGACACGCGCGCCTCCTACCTCAACAAAGCCCTACCCCGTAGTTGGGATTTGCGCCCTCCCAGAGAGTTCCTCGTTACAGGATGGAGCTCGCTTTGAATCACGGCCGTCCAACTTCCTCAGTAGCTGCCTGGACTCAAACACAGACCAATGTTAAGTCCCGGGAAATCTAGACGCCTACTTCCGACCCAGTGGCAGCCTTAACCCATAACCAAGCCACAACGAATTTTTCACGATCAGGCGGTCTCAAGGTACAGAAGGGCGTGACTTATACTGGATTATTCTCTATCGCTTCCCTGCTGCTTCGTCTTTCAAAGGGTCCTTCACAGTTGGCTATTAAACGACATCAGGCTTGACGATCAGATATACCTCAGACGATCGGGGGTGCTCAGACAACCTAGCTACAGGTCTTTATAACAACCCCCGAAAAATACTTTCAACAACAGTATTTACTTTACGATTGTATTCGACAGTACCGCAGCGGCTGATCAGGCTGTCTATTTTGCTATTCTATCCCTGTTTCCGTCAACCAATTGGAGCAGAGTTAATAGTCCGCGCCCAGACCTCGAGATTGTGGTTTTCCAATAGTTCATAGCAACGATTTGTTGACACGGTTTTAGGCTCTTGCAGAAATGTCGCCTGGCTTCTTGCAATTCCGGGGTGGAAGAAATTTCGTGAATAATGCTTGACATATATCAATATGCTCAACTAAATCCTGTATTTAACAGGAGGTAAATAACTACGATATTGGACTAGAAATAGCGCTCACGCTTTCATTTTTTATCCTAGGGAAATACTATTGACACTCGTTGGCAATGAAAAAATGTGGTCCGGAAACTCACTAACCGCCCCGGTCGTGTCGAAACTTGGAGATTTGTTAACACTGAGTGAGCCTACTTGGGTGTGTTCAGGACATAATCTCGCTTGGCTACCCAGTGGGCCCGGCCTCCTTGAGTCCTTGACACTGAAGGTATGGTCACAACGCCAATCATAGGTGTATAAGCAGGCAAACCAGATCAGATAAATCCGTATCATGAAACCCATAATAATGTTTTGTAGGGTTCCGTCTCGATGGTCGTAGCGTTTTAGAATAAGGTCTTTTCCCTTACATATGACAAGCTGTTGATCAGGTCAGTAACAAACATCCTTTTTTTATGTGCAATTTAATCTGATGAGAATACCTAGATAAATTGCATCCGCTCCAACATCCGACTCATTTGGTATATATCGGGCCACTAACCAAGAATCAAATTAATCGATTTCCAAAGGTTTATGGTGGTCTCAGCTGAGACATTCTACCCCGCGTCAGACTGCTACGCCAGCTAGTGAAGACTCTTCACAATGATTCTGAGCCAGAACTTCCCTCAAATACATGGGTATATCCTCGTTATACGACAGCACTTATCGCTGACCCCGGTCTTTATGTTTTCCTGCGACCTTATACTCAAATTCCCCGGACCTTGCCCCTGACCCAACCCATTGAGATGAGCATTCTTTCAAGACACCAGGTTTGTTCTTCCGCATTAAACATTTGAACAAGCTTCTCAATTTTGGGGCTAGGTTTGGTCTCAGTCACGGGACCTTTAAATTGGGACGCGGGACCCAACTCTCTTTCCTTCACCACCACATCCCTTCTCTTAAATAATCCCAAAAGTCAATGTATTACGAGCAGGACAAAGCGGCGAGTTACTCCATTCCTTCGGACAATATTAGGTGAGTTTCTAAATGGCCGATTACTCTTGAACGTTGCTCACTGCTTTGGTCTCAAGCCTCTCCACCACTAGCGGCCAGATTAGCGGAATTCCTTCTGGGTCAGTAATCTCCCATTGCCCCCACGTCTCCACACATGTTCTGACATCCATCGCGCAGTTTCAAATCACCATTGAGGGGAATTGTATACCCCAACGCCCAGAAATGTGTTGGTCCTAGGCCAACCAACGAAGAATGGCAGCTGATGGTAGCGAGATTTGTCGCCTGCTCATCCAAAATCTTCCATGCGCAGGCTACCCGTTTCAACGCACCCAACCCCACCACTCTTGTCCCTGCGTCGACCCCACCCTATCAGCCCACCCCGTCCCAGCCCTCCAATGATCCCCCGGCCACATTTACTCCTGAATTTACACTAGAGAACACCAATTACGCGACTTTCGATAACTCTGCATTTTATTTTATAGACAATGGTCAATCCAGCCAATCCAGCCAAACCTCATTCTGTGCCACCAACGAGCTCGCGGCCCGAGACGCGTCTACTCATTACCCCGGATCGCAATTCGGAGACGCGTTGCATCATCACGTGCCTCCACGAGTTGTGCCACCAGCTTTAGGCCAAGGCCACCCAGTCGAAGCACTTCCCCAGTCATTGGGCACGATTGGACAGCTTTTCGAAAAAAACTCGTTTTATGTCAATGAACCATATGCCGTGCAAGCGTCACCCCTCACAGCCACTCATACCGGCTATCATGCTCACCACCCAACACAAATACAGAAGATGAATTATTATAGCCCTACTATAGAATCCACTACTGGTATTCCACTTCACCAAATCAATTCAATTATAGTACCCGCTCTGCCAACCCACTTTGAGTACATTCCATTTTTTTGGATTCCTTTTCATACCCCTGACGTGTTCAATATTTAGCTTCACCTTTGGCATACAACCAGGGCAACCAGCCCCAACGCCTGCGGTTCAGACACAGCAATATGTTCCCAACACATTTGAAGACCCCATGCTATCAGGCCAGCCCATGTCTCAGGTCCCGGCGCACTGCCATATGATGGATCTGAACGATATTCCGGTGAACAGCCCAATGGGTGAAGGGGGGATGTCAGGAAAAAACACCGAGGCGTACGTTGAATTCCTTTGAAAATCTATCCACTTGGTCTGTACCCACGGTGTTTATTTTAGGAAAACGAGGAAAACCAGTGCTTCCGCGACCCAATTTGTTAATATTGGAAAGGAAAACATCAACCCCAACTGGAACACAGGAGTCCCCCAACCCACTGCCGCTTTGCCTTCTGCTTCTTCCTCCTTCACCCCCGCCGTAAATGCCACCCCAATTCCCTTCTATAAATGTCTCTTCTGCATGGATATGATTGAGGGCACCCGGAAAGCTGTGCGGAGGCACATCCTGGCAGCCCACTTTTCTGGAAGGAACCAAAAGGAACAGGTGAGCTGCACATGTGAGAAACAACTACAGATCCAGAGCCTGCCGCAGCATATTATAAGCGAGATCCATTATGGTAGTGCGTTGGGCCATTGCTCGATATGTGGGGCGGGATTTGCACGGGCGAATTTGTTGGCGGCACATGTTTGTAAGAAAGATCGGATCTCTGAGCCTCAGAAAAAGAAGAGGCGGATTGATTGAGGGTGGTATGTACTGGTGTTTCTGTTGACTATCGGACCTTTACTAATGTGTTTTTTTTTTAAATCTGTGTAGAACGAATGTCTTCCATCTACTCACTACTCGCCCTCAAAATTTGTACTTTATATGTGCCACCCCTTGTTTTACCCTCCGTACCATCAATATTCTACATATCATCTACTTGATATGACACCTTCAATCCCTCATAAACCATGATAATATCCTTTTATATGTTAATTTATGTATTGCCTCATTGTATGTAGACTCCGAATCTCATGTACTTTATTTTTTGGTTTCAATTTTTTATATACTACTGTATGTAATACAGGTGCAGTGATAGCCTACTACGGAGGAAATAAGGAGAACATGGATCTGGGCCTTTCCATTTAGAAATCAAGATAAACCCAAAATGGAAGGCCGCCCGCTTGATTTGGTTAGTCCCCGACGGAGGTTACTGCCTGCCTAGCTCAATTGGTTAGAGCGTCAGACTCTTATCGTTCTCGGAGCGTAATTTATCTGAAGGCTGCGAGTTCGACCCTCGCGGTGGGTTATAATGTCATTCATATTTACGTTTTTTTAGGTCAAATTTTATTTCAATACAAGTTGTTTACATCCCGCCTTCTACACGTGATGAGTGTTTAATCAGATCAATTTTAAATCCAGTACCCAGTGGGTACGACGCGTGGCCACTGGTGTTACGAGTTATTGCCATCATGTCTACTCTGATTCTGCTACTTCCAAGTGAAGTCCTTCTCGTCATTGCTTTGCATCTAGGCGTTCCAGAAATATTGGCACTGCGTCAGGTAGTTCCATTCCAACCTTTCGCGTCAGGCCCGTTTCACAGGCTGACTATGAACCAGTAGACATGTTCACAATTCTCTGAAATAACCCGAGACAAAGGGCTTTGGATACGTCTCCTACGACAGCAGGAAAAGATACTTCCGCTACCATCAGATCATTGGCCCCAGTCCATGTCATCTTTCATCGATTTATCGACGACCGACATTGAGCGAAGTGTTAGATCTGCAAATTCTATTGCCAATGCGTGGCTCCTTCCTCGAAAGACCAGTGCTGTCAAGCTACATCCAAAGTCCGCCGAATCATCTCTTTTGGGTTTGCAGGTATTCCTGGATAAATGGCTGTTGAGTGTCTACTCGGAAGGCTTGCTCTATCTTTGGGACCTCCGGGTTAGCCAATCGGCAATTCGCTGTGCAAGTTTGGATCTTGGGTCGGAAAGGTGGACATCCTTCGCAGCAGCCCTAGAGCACGATCTTAATGTGATAATGATTGCCATGACAAGTGCATCATCGTACGATATATTTCTAATTGCGAATCTTCTACAGCTCTGAGATCCTTTACTATTAGGCAAATAACAAAGGTGTACCGCGTTGAGCTTCGGCGATCAGAATCAGTGTTTTCTCCGAACAACTTCGAGCTCTTGCGAATCATCTCCAATCCGGCGGGATCATCTGTTGTGCGAGCAATAGATCCGGGTCTCCAACTTGTCGTATTTTCAACTTCAGACGTGGTCGAAGTCGTGAAATGGCGCGACGATCCCGAAGCATTAAGATTCAGGGTCTCTTTACAAACCGACGACTTGGAGGAGATGGTAAGTAAACTCTCCTGAACCCCTGCAGTTTTAGATAATAAGGTCTGATTTTCTCCCAGTGGAACGGAATAATTGCTGTTCGCCTGGTAGACCCTTATATACTGATTTTTAAAACTCGCTCCGTTGAGTTATGCCCCCTTTCCCCAACTGATACTGAGGGCAATAACTCCAATGCCCTACATCTAGTTCACCGATTTCCATCAACTACATTTCGGGACATATCTTGCTCCGATTTTCTCCACCCACTCGAGAGTGGTTCGGATGATATGAAGTCGTTACGTTTGTGTTTCCTCGCCCATGATGTACTTCAGGGAGTGTTCCAGTATCTGATTCACATTCACTTCCCGATGGCATCTCATCTGGCACCGGCACACCTTACATCCCTAGATGTTGAGTGCATTGGTGTATATCCAATGGCAAACAATATCAACATAGGTGCTATTCGCCCTCTGAGAGGCAACACTGGACTAGCATCACCAATAATGGTACCCGCTAGATATGAGAGCCCCGCTCCTTCACCTCTGCCCACGCCTACGCCCACGCCAAGCCGACACAATCTTTCTGTTCAGGGGGCTGGTCACGGAATGCTGAACCCTAGTGCACGCGGTTTTGTTAGTGCCGTCGCTTTAGGGCCACAAGGGAAGCGCGCCGTATGGGTGGAGAGAAAAAGGAGTAACACGAAGCGGGAGGTTCTCGTTTGGGGGATGGATCGGGGCTTCGACGACGATTACATCGTAGACCAAAATTTAATGATGGACGGCAAGGTGGTATATGTTGTAGGTTCCTATGATCTCAGGGGTAGGCCCTAGTCTAACTCCATGCCTCCATGCTGATTACGTTCTACTAGAAGACCTGACGCATTGTGCGATCAGTGAGGTCAGTGGATTGGTCATACTCGGCAATCGTACAGGCGACCTCTTTCGCTTGGGACTTGACTGAGCAAACCAGAGTGAATAACGTCACTTTTGGCAGTTGTAATGCTTGTTGAGTCACAGAGATACCCGAGTGGTACCATCAAGGCGTGGAGTACGGTTATACATTACACGCCTTACAACATGTGGCGTCAGGCTCCTGAAGGTAGTATATTGTAGACGTTTGTGGATCTGCATGCTTTTACCACATTCTTGGGATGGGCGTATAAACCATCTTCTTTACGACCACTTTTCGCGCTCCCCAAATCGAAAAAATGTCCAGTTTGACACACGGCTTGATGGTAGACATGTCACGTTCATATCTCTCGCTGGCACGACAGTATCACTACTTATCAGCGACGCTCCACAAGGGCTGTCTGCACGGCCTCTAGTTTCTCGTGATCGTGCGAGAAACCCGGTTGCTGAGTCAGCGCAAATGCATGGGGCCTCCTCCAATTTTTTCCCCGACGTTAACCTTGATCTCCAACCCCCATCATCTCCCTTAGATCGACCTTTTCTTCCTTCTTTTCAACAACACACGAAAAGTCTTTTAAAAAACACAAAACCTTACGACGTCTTTGGTTTCTACTTTGTTTGACACTAATATGACAAATGGTCTTGTAAATGGTACCACGGGTATCGAGAATCAATTTGGTGAGCAGTTTTTGTTTCGGTCCTTTTTTCTTATGCTCAATATCTCGAAAAGCTTCTCTCGGACTCAACAAATCTGCTTATGTTCCTCCTCATATGAGGAATTCGCAGCGGGCTGCTCCTCCCATTTCAAACGGGTGAGTGTGATGTGGTACACCAATTTTTTTTTTTAAAAGTGAAACCATATCTTTTCAGAAACGGCTGGGCTGATTCCCGTTCTGCCACTCCTCCCGCTCGCGGAGGCTTTGGAGGTGGCTATGATCGTGGCCGTGGAGCCTTCTCTAGCAGTGGGCCTCGTTTGGCTAGCGGCGGCGGCGGCGGCAATAACTGGGCTGGCCCTACCTCGACCCCCAACTGGGCTTCCTCTCCCGCCCCCCGTGACTCCGGACCTCGCGAGACCTTCGGGTTTGGAGCTTGGAGAGACGGGAAACATGCAGTCGGCGGACGCAACATGCGAATTGAAAAAGAGCTCTTTGGTGACGCAACAGACCCCTCCAAACAACACACTGGTATTAATTTCGAAAAGTACGACGACATTCCCGTCGAGGCAACCGGGGCTGGTGTCCCTGAGCCTGTCCTGTCCTTCACAAGTCCACCTCTGGACCCTGTCCTCCTAGAGAACATTGGGTACGCCATGTACACTAGCCCTACTCCTGTCCAAAAGTATTCCATTCCTATCGTTGCTAATGGGCGAGATTTGATGGCTTGTGCTCAGGTATGCTTTTTAAACTGGCATCTTGGCGCAGTGACTTACTCTTCTCCTAGACTGGTTCCGGAAAAACCGGAGGTTTCCTCTTCCCCATCCTGTCCGCTTCTTTCGCCCAAGGTCCTCGTGCTCCCCCAGACACTAGTCATCTTAGCAACGGCTACTCTCGGTCCCGCAAAGCTTACCCTACCGCATTAATCCTCGCTCCTACTCGCGAACTTGTCTCCCAAATTCATGAGGAAGCGCGCAAATTCTCTTATCGCTCCTGGGTCCGCCCTGCCGTCGTTTACGGTGGCGCTGATATTAATCAGCAGCTCCGCCAAATTGAGCGAGGGTGTGACCTACTCACAGCTACACCCGGTCGCTTGGTAGATCTAATCGAGCGTGGCAGGATCAGTCTTGCAAATATCCAATACCTTGTGTTGGATGAGGCTGATCGTATGTTGGACATGGGTTTTGAGCCGCAGATTAGGAGAATTGTTCAAGGGGAAGATATGCCTGGAACCGTTGATCGTCAAACTCTGATGTTCAGTGCCACATTCCCCCGTGATATTCAGATGCTTGCCAAAGATTTCCTCAAAGACTATGTCTTCCTTAGCGTTGGTCGTGTTGGAAGCACTAGTGAGAACATCACCCAAAAAATTGAATACGTCGAAGATGGTGATAAGCGTAGCGTTCTTCTTGATATTCTTGCCAGTCAAGGCAAGGAGGACCTCGGCCTTACTCTCGTGTTCGTTGAGACGAAACGCATGGCAGATATGCTGAGCGATTTCCTCATGGGTCATAATCTCCCCGCAACGTCGATCCATGGTGATCGAACGCAACGCGAGCGCGAGATGGCACTCCAAACGTTCCGTACTGGAAGGACACCAATCATGGTAGCTACAGCTGTTGCAGCACGAGGCCTCGACATTCCCAACGTCACCCATGTTATCAATTACGATCTCCCATCCGATATTGATGATTACGTCCATCGTATCGGTCGTACTGGCCGTGCGGGTAACACCGGCGTCAGTACGGCCTTCTTCAACAGGGGTAACCGTAACATCGTCCGGGAGCTCGTGGAGCTTCTCCGAGAGGCCAACCAAGAGATCCCGGGCTGGCTGGAGACCGTTGCGCATGAAGCATCCTTTGGCAGTGGGGGAGGGTACAGGGGTTCCCGCGGTCGTGGTGGCCGTGGTGGAAGCCGCGGTTTCAGTGGCGGCAGAGACTACAGGGCCAGCAGCGGCAACTATGGAGGAGGCGGTGGCGGAGGATATGGCTCCAAGGGAGGTTCTTCATATGGCACTGCTTCACCTGCTTATGGTGGGGGCGGTTTTGGAGGTGGAGGTTATGGTGGAGGAAGTGGAGGAGGCCCTGAGAGCTGGTGGTAAAGCACCATATGCTGCTACCTCCACTACATCCCTTCTTCATCGCCCACACCTTTGCCACGTTTTCTCATTATAGCCCGTGCCTCCCTTTGCCCTCCTAGAAACAGAAAGCCCTAAATGCCAAAAAAAATTTCCCTCAATTATATTCCTCTTCTCGTCGACTATGAGGACACCTGCAGATCCGTTTAATCACCTTATCGTCTTCAAGGCGACCTGCACTATTTATTCAGGCTTGCATTCCCTAATATCGACTCCAAGGCATCTTTTCCTCGGAGCCTTTTTTTTCACGACACCTTCGATCCG